AAATAAAATGGTTAATTTTACATTATATGAGTTTCACCTTGAAGGGAGGGAGAGAAGGAAGAAATTCAAGAGAAGTGTGAATGGTACCCAGTTCTAAGGTTCCACAAAAATGAAACAGTAACTGTGAAAGAAATTTGAAAAGTCAATTTGCACTTACCTCTCTCTGATAATGGAAGGCAGTAGTCACATGTAATTCCAACTAGAATACTTGAGAATAATCATTCTATATAAAACCAAAATGTATCCTATTATATGCAAATAAATAGCAAATTTTGTTCCTTGTAATTTTACAGAAAAAAATTCACACTCTTTGAACCTACTATTATTTACTTTTTTTAATTTTTAAAACTTTTTGGGTTTTTTGAGACAGTCTCATATGTAGCCCAGCCTGGCCTTGAACTCACAACATACTCTACAGGCTGGCCTCAAATTCATCCTCCTGCCTCAGCCTCCCAATTGCTGAGATTACAGGAGTAGGCCACACTCAGCCAAGTCAATTTTTTTTTTCTGAATCTATTTTTTAAAAGTATAATTCATTTGATAAAATTTCACTTGGAGACTCAATTTTATAGTCTGATAAAAACTGAGTATGGTCAACACTGTAATTCTTACACCAAGGGATCAAGAGATACAGAACAAAGAGCCATGGTGCACAGCTGTTGGGTTAAAATAAAGGACTGCTCTCCTCACCTTTGCCAGGCCAGAGAGAAGCTCTAGAGCTGCCAGTGATATGCTCATGTCTTGCCGCCACTGGGAGTTGAGTCTTTGGGTGACGAGATGAATACTGCGAATCAGGAGCCCAGCAGCTGAATCTGTATTAAGAGCTAGGATATAACCCCAATGCCACATCCCACAGGGAGGGAAAACAACTAAGCATTAGTAACGAGAAGCACAGCATTCCACCAGGCACAGACCAAAGCAGCCACAGTGAATACGATGGGCACCCACACAGTGCTATGCTCCCCACCCACTGGCCTGAGCCCAAGCCAGGCCTGACTGACAGAGCACAAGGCACCCACAAAGGGCCAGGGCTGCTTCTAGCTCCAGCCCACATATTTTCACACAGACAATCACAGGACTTGGCAGTTTCAGTATCATTCTTGTAATGTTGTACCTCTTACAATTTCTAAATTAACAACTCACAGAGAGTTACATTTTCAAAAAGCACAATGAAAAAAAAGCTATCAAGTGTTTCCACAGAATTTTATAAACCAAAAAAACCCAACTTTTACAGCCTCCTCAGATGCTGGGAATTACCCTATAGCACCTGTTGAAATTACTTGTAGAGTTTAAACCATCAAAAATCACATGCAATGCCTTTTCAAACCCCGTTTTAACATGTAACTCTCCAAAACTACTTCAATACTTCTAAAAACATTAAATAACCAGGCCAGTTTTTATTTGGCCTCCAACTTTATTTGAGTCATTATTACTTAGCTAATAGTACATTAGAAGCGATTAGGACAAATTAAATCAAATTTATAAAGGAAGCTTTAGGGACATTATACCTGTCGATCCTATCAGAAAGAGGGCAGTGACAACAGAAAAAGGAATGATCATTAAAGAGAGACATTCATGCGACACTAACACAAATCTGGATTTCTTAGTAAAAATATTTTACGACATTACAAGCAGAGCTCACTAACACCAGTTCAAAATGCTGAAACAAACAATAATCACTTCAAACATTTATTAGAACACATGCATAATGCAAACATCTTTAGTTTAAAAGTGTAGAAAAAATGAAAAATTTTCTACCTACAGTATACCTAAATCTACATACACAATGAATAAGGCAACAATTTAAGTAACCACTGTATATAGTATTTGTATATATTAAATATCCACATAATTACTTTTTCTAGCTGACATGCTCAACATACTTACTGCAAATGTAAACCATAAAAATATGCCTCATGAACACATGAACATGGCTCATGAAGTCTCCAGATGACTAAAAACCTCACATCTAAGGAACTATACATCATTGTAATCTAGTACGATAAATGCTCACAGATTCAATACATTGTTAGCATTTGTGCATAAAAACACAAAGGTACCCATAATTGACTGCATCCATAAAATAGTTGCCCAAGGTAAAGGATATTACTGAATAGAATGCTTTGCTGACAAATATTTTATTTGGCAACACAGAAAATAAAAATTTTTCCTCACTCTTGCTTAAAATTTGTGACTTAAGGATCTAATGAAACATAGCAGGGTAGGTACATAAATTTTAACATGGAGACAGATGTTCCTCTCAGCTCTGGTCTACTGTGTACTCCATCACTCCCTTTTCCTGCACTGTAATCACTGACTCATGGGACACCGCTCCCATTAGACTGTGCGCTTGCTCTGAGCATGGCCCACATCTTATCTGATCCATATCACCAGCACCTGGTAAAGAATCCAGAAATTTCTCCTGACCACTCATTACAATCATCTATAAAATCTAATAAACTACCCAAAATATAACTACTAAAAACTATATAGATAAAACTTGAGTTATTTGGGGTTTTTTTTGTTTTTCAGACTGTCTCTATTATACTAAAGTACATAAAATTTGGGGTTTTAGTTTTGTTTTAAATTTTTTTTTTTTTTTTTTTTTGGTACTGAGGATCGAACTCTGATCCCTCCACTTGCAAGGCAGGCGGCAGAACCACTGAGCCAAATCCCCAGCCCCTGTTTTAAATTTTTGAACATTAAAATTCTATTTTTTAGATTTGTTTTTGTAAAACTAATAATAAAAGTAATTCTGTAAAACTTTGATTTTTTTTTTTTAACATAACTTACCATAATCCCTTAGGAGAGCTTGAGCAGGTCTCTCACTATCAGGAGTTGTGGGCTCTGTACTTCCACCACTTGCTGAACTAATACCACTATTAGTGCGACTATGACTCTTCAGGTTATTTTCTCCACCACCCTAGTCAAATGAAAATGAATCAAGTATTTGGGGGCTATGTCATAGTTTACAAATATAAAGACAGACTAAACATTAAAAACTTTATTGATAAAATGGAATGGCCTAACTAAATGGCATATAAAGATACACAGATAACAACAACAAAAAAACTAAAATAAAAAAAAGGGCTGGGGATTTAGCTCAGTGGCACCACATCTACCTTACAAGTGCAAGGTCCTGAGTACGATCCCTGGTACCGCAAAAAAAAAAAAAGAAAGAAAAAGAAAAACTACAAAGATACACAGATAATAAACTCACAATGGATTAAAATTGCTGTGGCAGTTCGATCCCCAGTACCAAAAAAAAAAAAATTGCTGTGGTATTTCCACACCAACGTGATCTGCTGGAGGGTATGAGGGGTTTGACAACTATAGGTGTCCACACTAGGGTCTTCTTTGCCAGTGTTACAAAGGCCCAGCGCAGGACCTTTTTACATTTTTTACTAGACTTCACTAATATGACTCTGGGTCCTTAAAGAAAACACCCTAGGTGCCTCCCAAGCAAAACCCTAGAAAAGGAATACAATCTTCAAACATTCCAGCAACTTTCAAATGTTGTTATATCATAAAACACAACAAAATACTATGGTTAGTATAAATTCCTATATGAATGGAACTAATAAATTATTAATGATTTCCCTCACTTCTGCCATATAAATATAATTCATTATATCTACATCAGTAAATTATTGTTAGCTGTCTACTAGACATGAATGTAATTTCCTCAGCAATAATTTGATTACCCATTCTATATCCACTCAACATGCTTTATTAATTAATTCCACCACTCTCCAGCCTCTACTCTATGTATAAACTCACATTTCTTTTTTTTTGGTACCGGGGATCGAACTCTCGGGACCTTGAGCTGGTGAGGCAGGCGCCAGAACCATTGAGCTAAATCCCCTGGCCCTAAACTCACATATCTTAAAGACAGAAGCAAAGGGCACTGGATGTCTCTGGGAAGCTTTTTCGATTAAGAAGCATTAGTGTTTTGGGGGACCTGCAAACTTCAGTCTAAGGGGCTAGAAAGAGACCATTGATTTTGAGTCATCCCTAGGTCTTCTAGAGATGGCAGGAATTATGGAATAAAAGGTTTTTCTAGATTATTCAAGCCAGTTCACCAGCACAGCAAGAGATGGAGACACTGTCCAGAAATAAAGACTGGCCTTAGCCAGAGTTTCTGTCATGCAGAACCTCTCAGGGACTTGATGTATAGATGATAAGGCACTGATAGGTTAAAAAAAAAATCTCAGAATATGTATTTTTAAATAGAGTCCTTGTGAATCAATGAGCTGGATTTAAAACAATATGTCTTTAAAAATCACAAGGATAGACAGGAAGGTAACTTAGATAAATCATAAAATGATATTCTCTGACAGATTACGTGTCATAAACTTCTTACCATCTCCATTTGGCAACCAATGGCTTCTAAAAGTGCAGAATCTTGAACAATATTTAACATTGCCCCTACAACAGCAAAAAGGAAAAAAAAAATCCATATAAAACATGTAAGAACACTAAAATGGCTCATATGATTAAGAATAGAAGTAAGAATATGATTTGGGCTGAGTATTTCTGAAATTCCCCCAAATTACTAATAAATCAACTGACTGGTCAGAACAGATACTCTAGAATTCCTCCAATTCTGATCTATCTCTCAAAGTTTTAAAGTCGTATGTTTCTAAAATAAATTTGAAAGCAAACTGTACTTTTATAAAATATACTCATTGTCTGATATATTTTCATTGGTGTGAAGGACCAGATGCAAGCATCTCAATTTCAAGGATAATTCAGCAAGGTTCTAATCTTTTAGAAATAAAACAAAGTAAGAAAATAAAAACCACATCTGTACGTTTCCTACCATATAGGGACGAGACAATGTTTGTAGGGTCTCTGTAGATCAGGGTAATGGATGTGGATTTTATTATATATGTAATGAGCAATCAATGGCATTACTGAGCTTATTCTTTAAATACTGATTCTGGGGGCCAGAGATTTAGCTCAGTGGTTCCACCACCTGCCTCGCAAGTGCAAGGACCAAAGTTCGATCCCCGGAACCAAAAAAAAACCAAAATAAATACTGATTCTGGCTTAAGTGGGGAGGATAAAAGCTAAAGGAGCAAGAAAGGAAGCAGAGAGACCAAGAAGGAGGCTGTGATAGCACTGTAATTAAAAGATGAGCAGCTTAGAAGGTTCTAGGAGAGAGATGGTAAGGTTAATCCAGATTTATTTTGGAAGTAGTGTCAACAGAACTTAGAGGTAGACTTAAATGTGGGGTATTAAAAAAGAGAAGAATTAGATAGATGAGTTGTAGGTTCTTGTTTGAACAATTTGGTATGTATGAGGAAGCCATTTACCAAGATGAGGAACTAGACTGTTGGGCAACTGATTTAGGACAAAGTCATGGGAGATAGGCAAGAGAGGTTGGAGTTGCCCTTTAGACATACTGTGCAAGTAGAGAAATCAAGCAGGCAGTTAGCTAGTAACAAATGCTGAATTGAGAGGATTTATCTAGGCTGAAGAATACAGATATCTATCATATTTAAAGCCATGAGACTGACGAGACTACCTAGGATAAGAGGGCCAAGAACAGAGCTTGAAAGTTTCTAACACATAGCTACTTGGCAGGACAAAAGGAAGGAGCAAAGGAGACAGAGGAATAACCAGGGAGATAAAATTAAAATCAGGTTAGTATGGCATGATAGAGGCCTCAAGAAAAATGCTATACGGAGATGGGGTCAATCAAGCCAAGTGCTGTGAGGCCAGGTGAGATGATGACAGCAACTTCATCAGTTCTGGCAAGAGGAAGATCACTGGAAACTTTGATGTGAGTTCACTCAGAAGAATGGTAGGGACAAAAATGGTACCCTGAAAAAGAGAATGAGAAACAAGGAAAGTGAGTAGAAAATTCAAAGGGTTCTGAGTTTTAGGATAGCAGAGAATGGGGACAACAGTGAGAGGAGGTAAGGCATCCAGAAAAATATATTTTAAAAGGTAATAACAGGATATATTTTGACGCCAGTATGAATAATCTAGTAAAGGGGGAGAAACTGATCAGATAGGAAAGCTGAGTAGGAACCTTGAGAAGGCAATGAGAATAGGCCAAGTGGAGCCTATTACAAGTGGAGCCTCTAACAAGCTGGATTACCTGTCTGCATCTTCTACTGTCTGTGCCTCTGAGCTCTTCATTCGGCCTACACTGGCATCCTCAGTATCCTCCAACACACACCTGCTTCAGGTACTTTGCCCCTGCTTTTCCCTCTGTCTGGTACACATCTTCATTGCTCCCTCCCTTACTTTCTCAGTGTGATCTGCCATGACACTCTATTTAAAATTGAACAGCCCCTACCCTTTGCCCCACAACACACCCATCCACCCCCATCTCCTTTCCTTGTTTCATTTTCTCCCCCACAGAATACACTCTTAAGTACTCTTTTTCCTTTGACGTCACCGAAATGATTTTTGTCTGTTTTGTTCCTTTCTGTACCTCAGAGTCATGGGTGGTACCTTGCACATGACATAACACAATTCAAACTCCTGCTGAATAGAAGGAGGAACTCCCAGGTTGGGGAGGGGGATGTGCAGTTACTTGCTGCACTTTTTTCTATGAACTATGTAGCAAGAGTATCAACTAAGCAGAAGATAGATATAGGCTGGAGATATAAAGTGTGAGAAATAGAAAAGTAATTCCCTGAGGATGTTTAGTGAAACTACCAGTCAGAGCTAAGTGTGACCTGAGCTCTACAGTCACAAATCTGAAAGAGTAGACAGCCCTGCTGTATGATTGTTTTCCTCTAGTACTGCTCACTCAGGTGTGAATGTGGAATAAACGGGCAGATGAAATAAGCAGATTTGCAGTTTAAAAGTGTTAAGGAACATGGAATCTAAGGTAGGTAGGGATGAAAGAGAAGTGAGAGACATTGAAATGAGAAATGGTTAGTGGACTAGAGTTACAGCAGGAGTTGGTACACCTTTTCTATAAAAGGCCAGAAAGTACTTTAGACTTTGTATCATCTGATCTCCATCCCAACTAGTCAACACTCCTGTTGGGACACAAAAGCAACCACAGATAATAGACCAACCAGCATGAATGTGTTCCAATAAAACTACTACAAAAATAGCAGATTAGATTTGGCCATGAGCTATAGTTTGCTCATACATGGGTTAAAACATTGGTGAAGTAAGAGTAAAGTTAATGAAATGAAAGGATAGATGTAAAAAGAAAGGGAATACTTCAAGTCAAGATAATAGAGATTTCAGTTTTTTGGGACATAAAATCTAGAACAGGATCAAGTGAAGGTCATAGTAGGAGTGGGGAATGAGGGAAGATCAAGGGCCCATTGTACTATGTATTTAGCCAGAGAGGGTTGTAGTATTAGATTGGTCTAGGATGACACTAAGTACTACACAGCCCACTCAGAGTGTTCCTGAGAGCCCCAACATACTGTGGGCTTCTACAACCCTGTCACAGCTCCATGAGCCACAATAGCCATTACTATACTGAACTAAACATTTTACACATTTATTTTTGGTACCGGGGACTGAACTCAGGACCTTGTGCTTGAGAGGGAGGTGCAGCGCCACTGAGCTTAATCCCCGGCCCTACACATTTTTTTTTTTTGGTACCGGAGATCGAACTCGGGTCCTTGCCCTTGCACAGCAGGTGGCAAAACCACTGAGCTAAATCCCAGGCCCTCTACACATTTCTTTATTACTGACAACTGCCTATATGATAATCACAGTATTTCTACTCACTGACTTATTTTTCTTGTATCAGGTAAAATTTATGGGCAATTACAAAACACATAATTGACTGAATTCTCTTACTTCCAATACTTGTTTCATTTTTTTCTTTGTTTTGTTTTGTTTCTTGAGATAGGGTCTCGCTATGCAGTTTTGGTTGGTCTCCAACTCACTATGTAGCCCAGGCTGGCCTCCAACTCATGGTAATCCTCCTGCCTCAGCCTCCAGAGTGCTGGGATTACAGGTGTGCACCATCACATCTCATCATTTTTTTCCTTTTATAAGATTCTAAAACCTTGCCCCCAAAATAACATAAAAAGGGTATGTTATAATCTCTGTCCCAGAAACTCCTTTCCAAAATGAAAGGACTTACTTTTCCCATTTTCTCCACTTTCTCACTGTCTAACATACCTGACTTATGAGCACTCACTCCAAATGCTACTGCCATTATCAATGCTTTGGCCACATTATTTCTCCCCTGAAAACCCCATTTCTGCCTATGTAAGTCCTGGCCTTCAAGATCCAATTTAGCCTCTTCTTCCCTCTACAAAGTTTTCCCTACCCTTTTGGTTTCTTCTCACTCAATCCTGAAGACAATTAACATGGCATGCAATCAGCACCACCTTCCGCTGTTATGGGCAGAAGTCTCTCTGCAATGAAACCTGCTTATGGTAAGAATCATGCCACTCATGTCTCTAGTGTATCCTAAGTACCCTGCATCTAGAATCATATCTTTGGCTTTGAAAAGTCAAAGGTACAATAAAGGATGGGTACAGCAATCAAATGGTAAAGTGATGAAGAACTGAAATCTGAAAGGGGCCATACTGATATAAATACATTTAAAATAGAGAATCAGTATGATGAGGAGACAAGATGAAATAATAAAAAGAGAACCACAAAAAGTTACTCCACAATTTCTTCCTGGCAGGGTGCTGACCTGGGTTCCAGAATTACACCCCACCCCAAATTTTTTCACATGTAAAATTAAAGGGTAGGAGGAAGAGAAAGAGAAGAAAAGACAGAAGAGTGAGTAGCCAGGCACAGTGAGCATGCCTATAATCCCAGCACTCAGGAGGCTGAGGCAGGAGGATTGCAGCGAGTTCGAGGCCAGTCTAGGCTACAAAGTGAGTTCAAGGTCCTACCTGGACTATATAAGACCCTATCTCAAAAAAAAAAAAAAAAGAAAAAGAAAAAAAGAAGTAACAAGTGAGTGAAGTAAAAAAAAAAAAAGAGAGAGTAAGTGAAGTAAGGAGAAAAGGAGGAAGAGAAGAACAGGAGGAAGAAAAAGGAGAAGAGAAAGGAAGAGAGACATAGGGAAAAAGAAAAACATAAGCACAAATAGTGACCAAGAATATGGAAATGCTTTCCTTCCCTCATCTCAGCCCTTTACATTTTTTTAACATTAAAAAGCAAATAAATGCTGCCTCTGCTCCTGAATAAGTAGAGCTGTGTTAGATTCCTGTTGCTGACCTCTGCCTCCTCAGCATGCCAAGGGCCAATAGTATCTGAGTTTTCATTTACAAAAGACTGTGACCACAAACCTAATATCATTTGGGTGTTGTTGGGGTCCGTTTCCGTTTGCAAGGCACCTATTAGTATATTCACAAGTCTCAACTTCAGGGATAGAAAAGTTATTGGTTTATCATAAGAAGAGCTGTCATCATTACTAAACTTTCCTTCCAGGACCACCTAAGGAAAAAAACACATACTTCACATCAGCTGTTGTGATGCACAATGCCCATAGGGAAACAGTGGACAAAGAGCAGATCAATCTAATAAGCAAGGCTTTCAGTCTAATAATACCCACTGATGAGACTGTCACTAGTTCACTCAACATGTTTTCAGATGTCACTATCCTACAATCATTTGAAATGGCAGGCCAAGGCATGCTGGTAGTATATCAGAAGAAATACTTTATCAGAGCAACTTCATTAATTCACCTGAAATGAGGGTTTTTTAAATTAAAAATCTACTGTTTGACTTAAATTAGCACACAAGAACAGAATATAAAATATAAAAACACTTTAATAAAATATTACCTCAGATTTGACTGTGCCAAAATGATGAGGGAGGGGCAACAAAGAAAGTAGGATATTAATGGAGGATCTTCTTAATTCTGTTGGATTTACATAGCTTTTGAATTTTGAGAGTTCTCTGCCAAAAAATAAAAAGCTATTAGTATTCTTGGACTAAAGTACATTTTTAACTACTGCTAAATATATGTCAATTTTTCACAATCCAAGCATTGTGCATGTATGTGTTTGTGTATGTCAACATCTGTATTAAACTGTTACTGAACTATATCAAAATTTGGTGGATTTGTGTCACGATTTAAAAATCCCAGGCCTAACCCAGGTGTGGTGGTGCATGCCTGTAATCCTAACGCTCGGGCAGCTGAGGCAGGAGGATCCCGAGTTTGAGGCCAGCCTGGGGTACATAATGATTTCAAAGGCCAGCCTTGACTATATAGTGAGACCCTGTCAAAAAACAAAAGCAAGGCCTGGACTGGGAATGTAGCTCAGTGGTAAAACACTTGCCTAGCATGTGTAAAGCTCTTGCTTCAATCTCCAGCACCACAGGAAAAAAAAAAGGTAAGGCCTACTTTCCAAAGGTAGGACTTCACAGCTGGGTTTGTTCTGACCTCTCTAGACAAAGCTAGAAAAGCCCATGCACACATCAGTACTGAAGACATCCAGGGTTACAGTGGTTTTGGATATTCTATATACTCAATTAAATATGGTCTAAGTCCTGCTGGGCCATGAAGACAACTGGAGAAAATACAATTATTAGGAAACAGGAAGAAGCACCAAAATAGACCAGGCCAAGCTACACAATTGATACAATAGTAGAGAATGACAGCTTACCTGTCAGGCAAAATGGTTTCAAGAGCTGAAATAAAGTAAGGAACCACAACATCAATCCCTTTCAAGTCACAGCAGAACAAAGGAGGGGAGTTTAGAATAACGCTGGCCAAGACAGGATGGCACACATAATCATTTATCTGCAAACCTTGAATTAAAAGCATGTAAAATCTAGGAAAGCAAAAAAAAAAATTTAAATAAACTGCTAATCGAAAATTTTCATAATTATTAATATTTTCTACATAGTCATCTGAAAGTCTTTTTCCCCTCTTCACCACCCTTATCCTTTAAAAGATATTACTGGAATTCAAGTAATTCAGAATCATAAACAGTAAGGACTTAATCATTTTTCCTAATTAAGAAAAAGAAAAGATTCATGTCTATTACACTTTCTTAAAATTCACACCTTGTAATTCAAAGTTATAGGTGCCTGCACATGAGGCAACAACAACAAAATAAAACAAATGACTGAAGTACTTATCAGTAAACTGGTACAATTTCTGAAACAAATTCCATGGCAGTAAAATTTTGTAGTACTTTGTATTCAATAGGATCAAAACCAAATCCATCATTTGCCCTCTCACAAATCCGTTCTTTTAGTTTGTCATATTACCACGCATCTAGTATTATGGGCCAAACAGACAGCTCATGGCCATAGCCTTCTCTCTTATTGCTGCTGGTATCACTTGGGATATTTCTACAAGCCACGGTCTCCTCCTGAGAAATGGGTCCCCACCATAAGGGTGAGCTCTGGCACTTTTATATGAGTCATGCTCACAGTGATAGCTGACTAGACCAGAGATAGACACCTAATTCATCAGATACTCTTCCCCAAGAATCTGAAATGAGGATGCAGAGACGCTAACTGACCACCATGGCTACCTAGACCAAAGTTATAGAAACTGGGAACTTAGAAGCACACTATAATAAGAAAATAATCTGCAGAGAGGAGAATGAAGCAGTTGCAGAAGACCACGAAAATACAGAAACAGAAAGGAGGAAAAGTTGTTTGGTTGTTGAACACTTTCCAATCCTTAGATCCTATTCTTTGTATGGCCTTGCTACACTTCCTGATCTTAGACTTTGTTAAATATCACTAGCTTCTCATAATTTGCTCCCTTTTCCATTAATGTGATTGTGAGGGTTTCTGTTACTTAAAGCAAAGAGCACATGGTTAAGATATCATTAAGTAGTTTCCTGAATATGATTTTTCATGCCCATATACTTCTAGCAGCTTTTTTTTTTTTTTTTGGTACTGGGGATCAAACTTGGGACCTTGCACTTGCGAGGCAGGCGCTGGAACCACTGAGCTAAATCCCCGGCTAATGACCATATACTTCTGCATTTCTTTCCCTGAGTCAATTTAATCTTCTTTTCTGAGAACCCAGCAGGTACAGTGGTATCTATATGATGCTGATATTAACCTCACTTCAGTAGCTTTGTGAATGATCAGCTGAGAAGAGCAAGGCAGAATTAAAAAGAAAAATAGGAAGCCAATATAAGTTTGTTTAGGAGAAAAGTGACAAAGTCTGAAGTCTAATTCTGTCCTACTAGGGACAGACTGAAGAGAAATCAGGAAGAGGGTTAAGTAGCAGAAAGGCAGGAATTGGTTGAACAACTGAATATACAGGAGAAAAGTCTAAAATGACTCCTAGTTTCTGGCTGAGCAGCTGAATAGATGGCAGAGCCATTTACAAAGATGCTTCATCCAGAGATCTGGATTAAATGATCCTACCCAACTTTCTAACACAATCTAAATACTACCCATTCTTTATAAACTCAACACAATCATCTAATCTACCATAACTCTTTTCCAAACACTCTAGAGTAAGTGTGTACTGCTTTTTCCTCTGAATGCCCAGAGACCTTTACCTGTGCCTCTCTTGTCAATTTTTGATTCTTACTGTTACTTCTTTACGTGGGTTTGGTCATTTTAGAAAATAAACTCCTTGGGGGAGGGATTTAGAATTGTCCATAGTACCTAACATTATGCTAAAAATGTATTACCAATGACTACGATTCTTCTAAATCTCTCCATAATTAGTAAAATTCAAATAAAATAGAATAAATAAAACTTCTTAGGTAAAAAGAGACTTAAAGGTCTTTACCAAACTTGATGAGCCAAATAAAACAGAAGTCAAACAAATTTTAAGCATCTACAGACATTTGTAGGTATCTCAGCCCAGCATTTACTTATCAATTCAGCCTACCAAACCACACTACAATAGTGTTTCACTATGAAGACTACATAAATGGAAAATAAACAAACAAAAAATTCTAAGACCTGGATAAATAAGCTGGCAGTATCTCTTCTCCAGTCTTCTTGCTACAAAAAATCCTACACAGTGTCCCACAAGCCTCAGCTCTTCCTGCTTCATAGTTATCAGGAAATTCACTTGCATCAAACATAGGGTTGGAAACCATGGTGTCTGTGGACATTTGTGACCCTTTCCGTCGAAACTCCATGCTAGCTTGTGTCGTAATGGCTGGGGAGAAAAAAGGAGGGTTTTATTATATTTATCAATATGCCACATAGGCTCATGGGACCCTGGACACAAAGATCAAATATTGGTATCATTAAATAGCTACTTGAATAGAATCCAATAGTGCTTTTCTTTAGCAACTATGTCTTAATTTTTTTTTTAAAAAAAGGGCTCTCTGAAATCTTCTTTGAAAATGGGTAACAATTAATTTACAGTGGAATTATCAGTTTCACAGGTTCTACAAAAAGTATTTTCAACTGAATTTTTGATCAGATGAGTACATCTGTATATATCTGTATATGTTGATACATCTGTATATGTACATACAGATATATAATGCAGAATCTGGCTTTTTATTATTTTTGTTTTTTTCCTCACCCTACAGAATGATGCTTAAATATTAAGAAAAAATAGCTGCTAGAATTTATACATTAACCCAGATGGACATAGTAATTAATGGGCAACCCCATGCCAGTTTGTATACGTTAGGGAGAGGACAGAGTAAGGATGAGAAATGGGTAGGGAGGAAGAGAGAACATTCCCAGCACCCACCCAACTCCAAAACACACATCAAAGAATCGCCCAACCAAGCAAATGAGAATGAATTTTAACAACCACAGACAGCAGCTAACTTGAGGTTGGTAAATCAGAAAATTAGGTTGGTAAGAAAGATTATCATGGTCATCCATTGTCACTGAAACAGAAGCCCTTTGAAAGTTGCTTTATTTTTAACAAAAGATTTCATAGTGTATTGAAAATCATTCTGAAATCTTTTATTACTCTACATAAAATAATTACATTGTTTTGTAATAAAGGTTTAATAGAATACAGGGTCAAGCATAAATCTTTATGCAACTTCCCATGAGCCATTTTTAGTCCTGAATAAGCTATCCAGCAATAATACATTTGAAAAACACTACATGCAGAATGCATACAAATCAAACACTAAATCTGTATAAAATTAAGCTTAAAGCTTTTAAAAAAAAAAAAAAAAGCCAAAACACAGTTAGTGCAAAGTCCTGGAATTCATGACATGACCAGACTAGTATACAAGAAGTAATGGGACTGATTCAGGCAGATTAATTTGCTTTTGCCAACAATCTTCCCCATTCAAAACACAGAAAAGTATTTTTCTTCCCAGTGCAAAAACTACAAGAGACAATGACAATCAAAATTTTTAATGGAATTATGAAAAAAATAAAAACATGACTGCAATTAAGGAGAAGCTTCTGGTTCCTACTTACAAGATTTATAAGAAAGAAGAATTTGGATAAAAGATGCTGCAAGATAATAGAAATAAATGGAAACAAATCAAAGGACAGCAGTAATTATAAAATACTTTAAAGATGGTGAAATTTTACAACAAATTAAGAAGCTTTTTAGCTTTTTAAAGGTTAAATTTAAAGCTTTACGATACCACAAGCTAGTTCAAAAACATAGGAAATTGTGCATTCAGGTCCGAAATTATGATTTTGTATCATGCAAAACAATGAACAAAGAAAATTACACAACTACAGGAATTGAGGTTTTGAACTCCCTACAACGTGCATTAAAAATTTTAGTTCATTAACCCTTCCCAGCTCAATGTTATTTTCACAAAGCCCAGTATACTGTCACACAAATCGAAAGCGAACCAGTTCAAGGGAGCAAACTTAAGTTAAAGGTGAACTGCACAGCAGAATTCCTTGATGACAGCCAGTACTAAGAAAACAGTATTAAACAACCCCCCCCCCATTCCAACCCCAAGACTGGGACGTAGCAGCCCTCCATAACCCCTTCCACCATGTAGACACTTCTTATCTGCTGGATAATGTAACAGCCTTCATCATCTCCAAAAACAGTGAGAAAGAGAAGTGCTTCTATCCTTTCCCCATCAGGGAAAATGATGAGTTAAAAGATGTTGCTCACATATGATTTGAACTTTGGTTTCTATCTTCTGATGTAAGAGGGTGAGAAAAGCTGTTACAAACTCCCCAGAGATAGAAAGCTCTTTAAGTTCCCTTTAAGCAAGCCCACCATCAAAGCAGCAGACGAGCCATGCTAGATGCAGGGATTTCAGGGTCAACTGCTCTGTAGCCCAAAGCTACATTGTAAGAATTATACCTTTAAAAATATAAAAATGACTACTAACTCACTTTAGAAAATTAATAAACATGATTCAGAAAACTCAAAATATAAAGTACATGAACATAAAGAAAATAACTCAAAAGTGGTTTTAAAATGTTTTTTTCACTTAGACATTGTAAGCACATTAATTTAACCACTAGTAAGCACTACTTTCAATCTTATAAATAAAATTATAACACGGAAATGGTAGAAAATAAAGTATCTAAATTTGAATAAAATAAAGTAAGCAAAGGAATCCTTAAACTCACACAATCTCAAATTATATTCCTGAAAATCTTTGTATCTGTAACTTTTCTAAATTATTTAGAGTCATAAGAACATCCAAAATAATTATATGTATATAATAATCACAGACATAGACTTTCATCTTGACATTATACATAACAGCTATGAAGGCATTTCTGAGAGAATGGATATCCTATGGCCATTATATTAGTTTATCCCTGGAACTAATATTATCCCTAGAGATGCAAAAAACTAATGTAATTGGACTTTTTTTTGGTACCGGGGATTGAACTCAGGACCTTGTGGTTTTGAGGCAGGCGTCGGCACCACTGAGCTAAATCCCCAGCCCCAGACTTTTAAAACAAATCTTAATCTACTTCCAACTCCAGTGGAAAAATGCTTTCTTACCAAACAACCAATACATTCATGAATGCACAATCATTAGTGCCTGGCACATAATAATAGCAACTCAAAAAATGCCAGTCATTATTATTATTATTCAACTATACAAAACATACCATAAATATTCAAAACATTCTGTACTGCCCATCCTTCCATTCTGTATCTTATGTCACTATCTCCAAGTATAATGGTCAGATGAAGAAATATATCAGATCTTATGTAAACAGTTTCATTTCTATAATAAAATCTAAATGAGGGCCGGGGATTTAGCCCAGTGGTTCCGTCGCCTGCCTTGCAAGCGCAAGGACCCAAGTTCGATTCCCGGTACCAAAAAAAAAAATCTAAATGAAGGGTTATTAATTCTCTACCAATCTTATTAAGTTACAAAGCAAATGATAATTTGAAAGTGTTTCCCTAAAATAAAGTTTTCTAGACTAAAACCTAAGAGGTTAGAGTTTTTTAGGAAGCAGACAACTATTCATATATACATGTACCAATGATTGAATAGCTGTCAAAAATCTAAGAAAACACCTCTGTGGATATATTTCCAGTCAAAATCTTTAATTCTTCATGTAAGTATTATTACCCTGGCTGACATGAAGGGAACTTCCAGATCACCTACTGAAAGGAATTTGATTTAACAAAAAGTGGCTAACCTGAAGTATGTTTAATAAAATCAGACAAAGGGCCAAACCTCATAGAATACACATTAAAAGAATAGGCAGGAAAACTTCCAATGTTTCTTTTACTTCAGCTGGAAGGGGTTAAGCATGAGACACTGCTTGGTCAGAAACAGAGCTTTTTAAGATACATATTAATCTTGCAGGTAGGAAAGATTAAAAAGGGGAAAAAAAAGAAAAAGAAAAAAATGATAGCATATTTCTTGAGCAATATTTACCAGTCATGCTGCTGTCTCGGTTTATCCCATTATGAAGTTTACAGTGAACAAATGCTGCATCAAATAACCATGATCCAAAGAGATTCAAGATGCTGTTAACCTTTGGTCTCCGAGGGGCAGGCAGTGGCCGAGGTTCTGAACTTGCCTGATTTGGACTTGACAGAGGAGAGGTTGAGGAGCTCTGGTGCTGGACTTTCGAGGCATGAGCAGTACTAACCTATTAGAATAGCACAATGGTACAACCATACCCATGAAAGGTCTGAGAAAACAGAAGGACCTTTTTTTCTAAATAGGATAGCAAATTAAAAAAACAACTTTACACAGTCTAACTATGGTAATGAAAGTTCTTACTGTGCTTGTCTTCATGGTGGCCTTATTCACAGTAACAGCCCGGTGCCTTCGGTTATGTGGTGGGGTAGTATTGACCGCAGTGCTTTGAGACATACTTAATCTATTTACGGGTGTCGGAGGAGCACTGTCTGACCGGGGTCTAGAAATGCCTTAAGAAAAAAAGAAAGATGAAGTTATTCTTCATAGTTCAAATATCTGATTAGGGCTAGGGTTGGAGCTCAGCGGTACAGCACTTGTGTAGACTGTGCAACGACCTGGGTTTAATTCCCAGCACAGCCAAAACAAACAAACAAACAAACAAACAAAAAACCCTATTTGACCAGAAAATCTTCCACATGCAATACTTTCAAAGGACTGGGACATACTATAGCAGACCATTAGTCTCCTCCCAATATCCATATACCATTTTTATCTATGTAATGCAACACAAATTTTAGCTGGACACAGCTACCCACAATAAATAACTACATTTTCATGCTTCTCTTGCAACTAGATGTAGCCATTTGCTAACCAAAGAAATGTAGGTGATTGCTGGGGAGGTCATCTAAGAAAATGTCCTTAAAAGGACAATCAGGTATAGACTCTCCTTCCTTTCTAACTCCTGGACACGGAGAACTCACTCAACCATCACAGCCCAGCAGGCAGTGCACAAAGGATGTAGAACCACCAGACGGAAGAGCTTTTTATCCCTCATGGGGACAGAACTACTACAGCAGCTCTGTACTGCCTAGCCCTGATTTCATATTGGGATTTTTGGTTGTTATATGACAATCAGACTTAGTATATTTGTTACATAATACATAAACAACTACAAATGTTTCAGAAAACAACAGCCATTGCAAGGCATAGTGGCACACACCTGTAATCCCATTTACTCAGGACAGTGAGGCAGGAAGATTATAAATTTAAAGCCAGCAATTTAGAGACCTTATCTCAAAATAAATTTGTAAAGGGTTGGGAATGCAGCTCCTGATTCCCTGGGTTCCTTCCTCAGTATGACTGACTGACCAACTGATCAACAGACAAGACAGACAGACAGAGACAAATAGATATTAAATAGCACCGCTTTTTAACAGGTCAAAAAAATTCTGACCTCTCATATGTCTAAAGTGTGAAAAAATCTTTTGAAACAGTGGATTACAAAAGGTATGATATACTTTCCAATGATATAAATGAGAATAGTCTCTAGTGCATTACAAGCTGTATTTTCTTGGATAACTAATAAGAATGAGCACTTTTTTGCAAATTATTTATTTGTATCCTTTGTCCTTTTATCTAATAAATATTCTTTTTCTTAGCATATTGATCTATTTATATGAAGACATAATAATCTTCCATTATATTTGTTACAAATAATCTTTCCTAGTTTGTTACCTGTCATTAAATCTATTTCTCTTTTCCTTTGGGCTTTCATAATTTCTTCTAGAATTACACTCAAAGGTTATCTAAATGCAGGCTCTTCAGACGTCTAGCAACATACACAAAATTCACCTAAGAATGCATCCACCAGACAGCTGATTCCACGCATGGCACGAAAAAATATTTGAGGCAGATGTTTAAGGCAGGGATATTGATTCAATTCTTGCGGCATCCCGCTCACATTTAAGAACTGTTCCTGAAATTTGGGAGTAGAGCTTATAATGGCTGGATTACTCAAATCCACGGGATGACTATTAGGAAAGAGAAAAAAATTACACAATTAGAAATTTCTATAGCAAAAAAATGCATGCAAACCAATTTAAGAACAAGGCTAAATGCACTTATTTCTTTAATTCAGAGAGCCAACTGATCTATATTTCATTAGGGCTCAGACATGAACACTACTCTATAGAAGAGGTGTAGCTTTTCTACATGAACTTATTTTACCCACAGAATGAGAGTGAAAGTAAAACTAGAAGGTTTTAGCTTTTTTAGAGTACATATAGATATTTTAAACATGTTTGGACTTAAGCAATGGAATGGAAAAGTTTCAAAAAGAGCCTCAAGGAAAAGATTTTACGTTAACATTTCCAATTTTAAAAAATATGAACTATGTAGTACATATATGTACTACAGTATACATTTCAAAACAATACAATGGGGTTTGATTTATATTTTAGGTTCAACCATTTGCATTAAAAAGCTTTCCATTTGAAATGGTCTGCTTAGCTACTGATTAAATAGGCTCTCCAACTCAAAGTACAATTGATAACTTATAACTGGTAGAAAGAATTTCCACTAGCTACAAGGCAAAAGAACTAGGCTGAGAAGTAGAAATCAGTAGTTTACACATTCTCTGGCCTTTGAAAACTCTTTTTCCACCCACCAGAAGATTCTTAATTTGAAGTAACTATAGTGGGAAAAGGTAATGTGTGCTTGTACAGAAAATGGGCTGCTAGAGGTAGCATACCATATCACACAGAAGTATAGCCCATCATGGAAGGTACAGGAGGTAAAAAGTCTCTAGCAGCACTGCCTGCTGGGAGTTGTAGTTCATTTGTTTAGAAATTATAAAAACAGGTTGTAAGGTTGGAATGGACTATATCTCAGTCCAACAGAGCTCTGTTAAATTTGTATCTTTCAGTCACTGAAAACTAAGAAGAGAAAGATGTATACAGCTCTTCCAGATATAAACCATAAATTATTTCATAGGCATCCAAATACTCAGAGAAAAGATTTAAAAAAATAAAACTCTGAAATGAGAATGGATAACAAAGGATACAGATAACAGAAACTCCATTTCTGTAGTTCCTGATCTCCTGTGTGCCTGACTCATTTAGGAACCTTTTATTTTGTTTGTTTTGTTCTTTAAAACAGGGTTTTGGTATGTAATTCAGGCTGGCCTTGAACTCACTATGGAGCCCAGGCTGGCCTCAAACTTGAGGTGATCTTCCTGCCTCAGCCTTCTGAGTGCTGGGATTACAGGCATGTGCCACCACACTCAGTACATGTAAGGGCCTTTTACAAGTCCAGATTCCACCTACATTTACTGAAATAGAATCTCAGGTTGGGGTCTAACAGACAGGGGGTCATACACAAGTCCAAGAGTTCTAGTGAAATCAATGAGGAGCCAGCATCGTGGCACATGCCTGTAATCCCAGCACTCAGGAGGCTGAGGCAGGAGGATCACCTTGAGTTTTAGGCCAGCCTGGGCTACACAGCAAGTTCAAGGCCAGCCTGAACTACATACCAAAACCCTGTGTCAAAAAACAAAAAGAAAAAAAAAATCAATGGGAAACACATTTTTGTTTTGTTTTTCCTGGAAAAAGATAAAGCATTACCATACTAGACAAAATTCTGATGCCTATCTCACCATCATATTCAGCCCTCTTACCAGGAAATCTGTCAATGATCAAAGTTCCCCCTTCTTAATAATCCTCATAGACCTGCTTTCCACCCACTCACAGCTCATTTAAGCAAGGAGGTAAAAACCTGCCCAAAAGGAGTCTATCAAGATGTCTGAGAGAGACCTACAAACAGTGTAGCCTAATTAACAAAAATAATTTGATCCAATTTAATTCTTCTGAGATCTGAACAAAGAGAAAGAATTAGTGAACTTAAAGGGCCATAGTTGAGGTCACAGTAGCATAGCTGTTTAAACCACTGGGCAGTTACCATGGAGTTGCAGGGGCCCTTCAAAAACTGAAAAACAGGGAAGCCCAACAAAGGAAAAGAATAGTACATAATGCACAAGAGAAGCAAACAATTTGAGAGAAATGACAGAATGGCTGGTCCCGAGGCTGGCTTGATCCTTCCCCAAGAAGAGGACTGGTTGCTCACTGCTTCTTAGATCCCACACACTAACTTTTCCTATTTACCAGCATTTGCTTAAGTTGGTTTCTAATCCCTACAACCAAAAGCATCCTGACTAAAAGACGAAAGTTAGACCAAGAAGAAACACAAAGCCTGAGAGATCAACTAAAAGTGAAGCAGTGAGAAAAGATTATCCAAGAACCAACTCAAAAGATTCCAGCACTAGAGTTTTACTGGTCATTTATTTCAAATGCTTAAGGAACATATAGCTTTCACACAAGAGAACATGAAAGAGAATAGGAAGTTTTGCTATTCTTTTAATGCTACCAAAATGTAGATTTAAAATACCATTTTAATTCAACAGTGTTCTAGAAGGTCTGACAAGTGCAGGAAAATATAAAGAAATAATTATAACAGTAATAGTAATTTTTAAGCTACTGTGTACAAGGCATTGTACTATTTTACATGACTTTTTCTTCTGCAATTCTTTTTTTTTTTTTTTTGGTACTGGAGATTGAACTCTGGTCCTTGCGCTTGCACAACAGGCGGCGAAACCACTGAGCTAAATCCCCAGCCCTCTTCTTCAATTCTTACAAGATAGATACAACATTATTCCCATTTTGTAAATTAGAAAGGCACAGAAAGACTAAATTATTCAATCAAGTTCACAAAAAAGAAAAAAGACAGTACAACTTGAACTCACATCTAGGTCCTACTGTATCCAAAACATTTTGGTTTAAATACTACATGCTCTAGTATGAACTGTTAGAAAAGAAATATAGTACTTATTTGAAGACATGTTCATTACATCTAGAAATCTCAGAAGAATTTGTGAAATCTCAGAGCCCACATATGATATACAAAAGTAAAAATATTCTTTATAGCAGCAATAGCCAGTTAAAAGATAAACACTCTACTCTTTTAAAAGCTCACATGATATACAAAAGTAAAAATGTTCTTTACAGCAGCAGTAGCCATCTAGAAAATATAACAGTGTAAAAAAAGCTTTTCACAAAATCAGTAATAAAGGAAATATGCAAATCTGTAAAGAAAACTACCATACACCTCTATAAATACATAAGATTCTAAGCTGGACACAGTGGCACAATCCTGGAATCTAGCTCTCAGGAGGCTGAGTCAGGAGGACTGTCAACTTGGACTACATAGTAAGTCCAAGGTTAGCATGAACTACATAGTGAGACCCTGTCTCAAAAAACAAGACAAAGAAAAGATAGTGCCAGGGATTTAGCTCAGTGGTTTTGCTGCCTGCTGCACAAGCACAAGGAACCGAGTTCGATCCCCGGTACCAAAAAAAAAAAAAAAAAAAGAAAAGATATATAAGATTCTAAAAAGGGGGTGGAGAGCATAACTCAGTGGTAAAGCTCATGGACAACACCCCCGAGTTCAATCCCCAGTGTTATGCTTTGCATCTAGATGTCTTCCCCAAGTCTCATGCAGTCAGAGGTAGGGCTTTTCGGAGGTGGCTGGATCTAGGGTGTGTGATGCTGGAATTAAGGATGTGATGCTGGGATTAAGTGTACAATGCTGGGATAAGGCTGCCCCACCTTGGGTGTGAGTGCTACCCACCCCAAGGGCGGGTATCCTGGATGGAATATAAGTGACAGAAAGAGGGCTGCTGCTGCTTCTGTTTCTCTTGCTGGTCTTCTGCTTCCTCCCGCTCACTCTGCTGTGCCACCCTGCCTTGAAGCCAACTGATTATGGACTGAGTCCTCTACAAATTGAGAGCCAAAATAAACTTTTCCTCCTTTACTTCAGGTGTTGGGTATTTTGTCTCACCAATGAGAAAAGTAACTAAGACATCCAGTAATAAAAAAAAGAAAAGTTTTTAATTAACAGATTCTGAAAAAAGAAAAATACATGCTTTAGGAAAGCAGACTAAATGTAACACAGTATCAGGTTTCCTTAAATATAAAGGCTTAATATAATTCTCATCTTTAGCAGAGTAGAACTAGTTGTTCACTTTTTCTTTTCCTCTATATTCTCTTCCAATTAAGTGTGGCATGTGTTCTGGCCAATGGAATGTAAGTAGCACTAATTTACATCACTTTGTGGCCTGGTCCATAAAATCTTACTACACAATTATCCCATTTACTAACAAGATCCAGAGGCTCCTGCTTATAATGTTGAAGCACTGGGCCAGGGATTTAGCTCAGTGGTTCCACCGCCTGCCTCGCAAGCGCAAGGTCCCGAGTTCAATCACCGGTACCAAAAAAATTAATAATAATAATAATAATAATAATAATAATAATAATAATGTTGAGGCACTAATGAAGTCATGTGTTAAAGAAAGCAGAGCCTCCATCAGCCCAGGTTCCACCCCCCACCCCAACTTCATCAATTTTGGGTTCATTTGCTGAAGGAGGACATTTTCTTTACCCTTATTAATACACAATCCAAACCCCAAAAGGCTTTATAAGGGTTTTCTATTCGCTTCTACAGTCGTGCCTTGGTTTCCATGGGGAACTGGTTCCAGGATTCCCCTTCCCCACAGATACCAACATCTGTGGATGCTCAATCTCCTATGTTAAATGACATAGTATTTACATATAACCTGTGAACATCCTCTTGTATAGTTTAAATCACCTTTTTTTTTGTTCTTTAAATCATTTCTGGATTCTCTGTAATACCTAGCACAATGTGAATGCTAGGTAAATAGTTGTTATACTGGGTTTTTTTCTTTCTTTTCTTTTTTTTTTTTTGTGAGACAGCTTGTCTCACTATACAGTTCAGGGTGCCCTTGAACTCACTATGTAGCCCAGGTTGGCTTCCAACTCATAGCAATCCTCTTGTTTCAGCCTCCTGAGTGTTGAGAGTACACCACCATGCCTATCTGGGTATACTATATTGTTAAGAGACTAATAACAAGGAAAAAAGACTGCATAAGTTCAGTACAGATGTAACTTTTTTCAAATTACTTTTAATTCCTGGTTAGTTGAATCTATAGATATGAGATCCACAGGTTCAGAGGGCCAATGGTATTTTTTAACTTGACAAATTGATTCATCTGAAATGTAAATCAGGCAAGAAGAGAGAAATATTCTAAGAAAAGGAAAAAGAAAAAGATACTAGGTCTACTAAATATCAATAAATATTGGCCAGGCATGGTGGCACATTACTGTAAATCTCAGCACTTGAAAGACTGAGGCAGGAGGATCTCCACAAGTATGAGGCCAGCCTGGGCTCTATGACTACAAGACCAGTCTGAAGTACATAGTGAGACTCTGTCTCAAAAAAAAAAAAAGGAAATAAATAGCAGTAAATATTAAAAAGTTAATTAAAACTGTGAATCTGATATACGAATAAATTAAGAGATTAATGGAGTAATATGTGACCTAAAACCAGATACTAGTATATATAAAGGAATTTAATATCTCAAAGGAAACAACACTAGGAAAAAAAATCATAGCTCTCTGATCAAAGAACATAGAAAGACTTTCTAATTTTAAAAGAGAAATAATCAAAGAAAAGACATTCAAAATTAAAAATCACTGAAAGCTGAAAAATATAACTATGAAGTAAAAAAAGAAATAACAGAAAATGATTCACATTCCTAATTTATAAAAGGGTCATGCATAGTAATTTAAAATCACTAACACACACACAAAAAATGAAGATAGTACAGCCAGGAAGAGAAGATAAAAGAGGAAAAAGTTTATTGGATGCTTTACAATAGAATAAATGTTCCATGGAAGACATGGGTAAGAGTGGAAGAAGGACAGGTAGGAAGTGATGTAACTAAATGGAAGAACTTCCATTAACGCATAGCAGGAAGGTAGGCATTTAGCCCTCTGTGAAATATTAAAGTGTACTTCTCAGTGAAATTTTAAACAACAGGGCTACTAAAGGAAGACCCTGGGAGCCAAAATGACTACTGCCAAATACAGGGAGGAACAAGGCGGTCTCCAGTCCCCACAGAACGTGACAAAGTCTAGGAAGAGATGTCATCCAAGCTCAGCAACAGCAACAAGAACAAATGCTGTATCTACTACAGAGAGTAAGTTCCTAGAAAGCGTAAATCAAGGGCAGCTAAGGAAAGCCTAAGCCTGCTGGGATGGGGACAGCAGGAGGCACACAATGTAGATGTGCCTATTGTCCAGTATGGCTCTATTGATGGATTGTGCTTAGCATTCACACTCTGATAACAAGAGAGTTCTTGCTCTAAGAAGTTTACTAGGTCAAAAACTCATGAAATAAAACAACAATACCTTAACATATGTAAAAATCGAAACCACGTCTGTGCAACACACTCATTATCCATTTCTGGAGGGATCAAACTGGCATCCTCATCAGGAACTTTAAATGGAGGAAATGAAGGACCATATGTAAAGCGTAACAATCTAGAAAGTAAAAAATGCATAGCATTAAGTCTATTTCTTAACAGAATGAAAAATACATTCAAACATGAAAACATAGGAGGAAATACATGAAACATATATACCTTACTTAAATTAACAAAGTATATGAAAACTGTCATTTATAAAACAGACAAACTGAAAGGGATTTCCTGTTTTTCCAAAGATTTTTATTTGTTTGTTTATTTTTTTGAGACAGGGTATCGCTATATAGTTCAGTCTTGAACTCAGTACGTAGCCCAGGCTGGTCTCATGGCTATCCTCCTGCCTCAGCCTCCTCAGTGCTAGGATTACAGGCATGCACCAACACGCTTGGCAATTCAAAATACTTTTTTTCAAAGATTATTTGAAAAACTAAAAGTGAAGAGTGAGAGAGAAACTGGCTCTGTAGAGTGAGCTTGAGCTGAGTAAAAGGCAAAAAAGTGAGATAAAAGAACACCCTAGAGAAAGCAGGACACGCTATCTTGAGGAAAGCCATGATAGCTCAAAAGATTTTTGAAACATATTTAAAATATTTACTACTTATATTGTGTATAACTTACAAGTAATTTTTAAAAGACTCCACGGCAAATCTATCAATACATCTAAACTATATTTTACTCATAAGAATAACTTAACTCTACATGAAATTTAGAATGTAGTATTAAGAAATTTAGAATACGGTACACTTTTATACTGTACCATAAAAGTAACTCAACAACTTAGCTGTAATATTCTAAATACACTGCCCAAGCATGGTGGTGCACCCTGTAATCCCAGCTCACAGGAGGCTGTGGCAGGAGGATCACTGCAAGTTCAAGGCCAGCCTAAACTACACAGCAAGATCCTGTCTCAAAAAAAAAGTATTAAAACTCTTAAAAGCCCTTTGACCCAAAGATTTTATATCTAGGTATTATAACTTAATAATCATAATACATACAAAACCTATATGAAGTATTCATATCATAGTATTTCTAAAGTAAAACACTGGGAACAACATAATTATCAAAACCTCAGAGAAATTATTATAACTTCAATTATATAATGGAAAACTACAGTCATTAAAAATGGGATCTCAAGCTGGGCTGGTCCCAGCACCCAGAAGGAAGCTCCCCTGCCACCATCCCAGGCTCCTAGGGCAGAGAAGGTGAGCCGGTCCCAGAACCTGGAAGAAAGTTCCCCCACCGCCATCCCACGCTCCTAGGGCAGAGAAGCTGAGCTGGTCCCAGCACCTGCAAGGAGGCTCCCCCACTGCCATCCCAGGCTCCTAGGGCAGAGAAGCTGAGC